CAAATATATCCAAAATAACAGATTATTTAAAACAACTAAACAGAACCTTTACAATAATAGCACTGTCAGAGACATGGCTCAACGATGAAAACACAACTAATGTTCACATGGAAGGGTATGAATTATATCATGTGAACAGAAGCAACAAAAGAGGTGGTGGAGTGGCTCTATTTGTTAAAAATGAAACAAAATGTAAATTAATTAATGAAATGTCAATAGTTGTTGATAATATCATGGAAATAATAACAATAGAAATAATAAACAAGAATGATAAAAACATATTAATAAGTTGTGTATATCGATCTCCAGGATCAAATATAGAAATATTCACTGATAAAATCGTACAACTATTGGACAAGAGTTTTAATAAAAGCATTTTTTTGTGTGGAGATTTTAATATTGACCTGGGAATTAAAACAGATTCAAATAACATCAGTACATTTACAAATTCATTGTATAGTTTAAATCTTTATCCGTTAATATCAAAACCAACAAGAATTACAACTCATAGTGCTACAATAATCGATAATATTTTCACAAATGTAACAAATGGGGATGTGATGGGAGGTATTTTAATGAGTGATTTGAGTGATCATTTACCAGTTTTCATGATTTATAAAAATGATCAAAGCATTACAAAAGAAATTACAATTATGGAAAAAACAATAAACACATAAAAAAATGCAATGGACAAATTAAAAGATGATTTACATAATCAAAGCTGGAAAGACGTGTATGTTGATGATGTGAACAGATCATATGATGAGTTTATGAATATTTTATGAGCTCTGTATGAAAAGAATTGTGTGCAAAATAATTGTACAAAGAGAAATGTTGTTGACCAACCATGGATGACGAAAGGGTTGAGAAATGCTTGTAAAAAAAGAATTATTTGTATACATGTTTCTTAAATTGAGAACACAAGAGGCTGAAGAGAAATATAAGAAGTATAAAAATAAATTAGTAGCGATTATAAGGAAACACAAGAAGGAATATTATAGTGATTTATTAAATAAAAGTAATGGTGATATGAAAGCTACATGGCGATTAATAAATAGTGTTCTGAAAAGTCATAAAGCAAAAACAGGTATTTCACAATATTTTTTGAAGGATGATGATGAAATCCATGATGAAAATGAAATTGTAAATGGATTTAATCATCATTTTGTGAACGTTGGATCAAGCCTTGCTGCTAAAATACCAAAAGTAGACAATAATGTGAACCATTCAGTTATAAGTTGTGACAACAGTATTTTTCTTAATGGAACTGACAAAGAAGAAATAATGAATGTAGTAAAAAATCTTACAGATAAGAGATCAAAAGACTGGGTGGACATGGATATGATGTTTGTAAAGGACATAATGAGTTATGTTATCGAGCCGTTTACATATATTTGTAATTTATCATTTTTAAAAGGAATATTTCCAGACAATATGAAAGTAGCTAAGATAGTTCCTCTCTTTAAAAATGGTGATAAATGTGTGTTCAATAATTATAGACCAATATCCTTATTACCACAGTTCTCAGAAATTCTAGAAAAACTATTTGTGACCAGATTAGATAAATTTATTACTAAACAAAACATTCTAAGTAGCAGTCAGTATGGGTTTAGAGCAAAAAAACTCTACATCAATGGCTCTCATGGAAATAATAGAACAAATAACTACTGCTGTCGATCAAAAACAGTATTGTGTTAGTATTTTTGTTGATTTAAAAAAAGCATTCGATACTATTGACCACACTATTCTCCTTGAAAAATTAAATAAATATGGTACAAGAGGACCAGCATTACACTGGGTATCTAGCTATTTGAAAGATAGGAAACAGTTTGTACAAATAAATGGTGTAAGATCTGACCTGTGCAATATCACTTGTGGAGTTCCTCAAGGCTCTGTACTTGGAGCAAAGTTATTTATTTTATATGTGAATGACTTAGTGAATGTCTCAGGACTCCTCAAATGTGTCCTGTTTGCAGATGACACCACATTTTTTTGTTTGGGTAAAGATGTAAAACGGATGTTGGAATTGATGAAGACAGAATTTGATCAAATACAAACTTGGTTTAAACTTAATAAATTATCATTAAATTTAGACAAAACTAAATACATGATATTTAGTAACAAAAAGAGAACTGTTGATGATCCATTTAAAATTGAGGGTGTTGAGATTTGTAGAGTTAATGAGATGAAATTTTTGGGTGTAATCATTGATGAACAGCTAACATGGAAAAATCACATCAATTCTGTAAGAACAAAAATATCTAAATCTATTGCAGTACTATACAAAGTCAGGGAATTATTAAATGATAAAGCTCTGTACATGTTGTATAACACAATCATTGTTCCACATTTAATCTATTGCATTGATGTTTGGGGGAAAGCGTGTAAAACATTTACAAAACCTATTTTTATTTTACAGAAAAGAGCTGTAAGAATTATCACCAGAAAGCATTACTGTCACCCATCAAGCACATTATTTTATCAACTGAACTTATTGAAGTTCCATGATTTGGTAGATTATAGTATTTTATCAGTTATGTATAGGGCTCAAAATAACACATTACCATTAAATATCCAAAGAAATTTTGTTAAAGTCAAAGTTGTTATAATCTTAAGGGGATAGAGATATTTGTCAAACCAAAATTCAGAACTAGTCTGAAGGGAAGGTCTACCTCAATCCAAGGAATTGGATTGTGGAATGTTCTAGAGAGTGATGTGAAAAATGCCAAGTCAATGTGAACATTTAAGAAAAAGATCAAAGCTGAATTGTTAAAAAGTATATATGAAGTAGCTTAGTGTGTGTTTTGTATTAGAATTAGAAAAATTAGAAAGAGTTATTCATTTTGTTCTATTACTTGAAAATTATTATGATTGAACTAATTGTTTGAAAAAAGGGGCAGATATAATAAGATGTTTTCTTCTTTCTGCTGCCTTTCATTTTAAATCTTTTGTATCTTTTTTATATTGTTATGGAAGTGTTTTGTACATTTTAAAAATGAATAAACTTTATACCATACCATTATTTACTAATTAGTCCGGTCAATGTCTAGACTGTGGACTGTTGCAATGGTTTATTATCTGGGTGTCCAAATACTTCTTTAAAACGTCTTCAGTTGATACAAAATGTTGCTGCCAGAGTCTTAACTGGAGTTACTGGGAGAGATCATATCTCTCCAGTTTTAGTTTCTCTCCATTGGCTCCCTGTCAAATCCAGAATTGAATTCAAAATCTTACTTCTAACCTACAAAGCTCTCAACAACCAAGCTCCAGCTTACAAACCGGATTCCAAAAAAGTTGGGACACTAAACAAATTGTGAATAAAAACTGAATGCAATGATGTGGAGGTGCCAACATCTAATATTTTATTCAGAATAGAACAGAAATCACAGATCAAAAGTTTAAACTGAGAGAATGTATCATTTTAAGGGAAAAATCTGTTGTTTCCAAATTTCATGGCGTCAACAAATCCCAAAAAAGTTGGGACAAGTCCATTTTTACCACTGTGTGGTATCCCCCCTTCTTCTTCCAACACTCAACAGACGTCTGGGGACAGAGGAGACCAGTTTCTCCAGTTTAGAAATAGGAATGCTCTCCCATTCATGTCTAATACAGGCCTCTAACTGTTCAATCGTCTTGGGCCTTCTTTGTCGCACCTTCCTCTTTATGATGCACCAAATGTTCTCTATAGGTGAAAGATCTGGACTGCAGGCTGGCCATTTCAGTACCCGGATCCTTCTCCTACGTAGCCATGATGTTGTGATTGCTGCAGAATGTGGTCTGGCATTATCGTGTTGAAAAATGCAGGGTCTTCCCTGAAAGAGATGACGTCTAGATGGGAGCATATGTTGTTCTAGAACCTGAACATAGTTCTCTGCATTAATGGTGCCTTTCCAGACATGCAAGCTGTCCATGCCACAAGCGCTCATGCAACCCCATACCATCAGTGATGCAAGCTTCTGAACGGAGCGTTGATAACAACTTGGGCTATCCTTGTCCTCTCTGGTCCGGATGACATGGCGTCCCAGTGTTCCATAAAGAACTTCAAATCGTGACTCATCTGACCACAGAACAGTCTTCCATTTTGCCACACTCCATTTTAAATGACCCCTGGCCCAGTGCAAACGTCTGAGCTTGTGGAGCTTGCTTAGAAATGGCTTCCTCTTTGCACTGTAGAGTTTCAGCTGGCAACGGCGGATGGCACGGTGAATTGTGTTCACTGACGATGCTTTCTGGAAGTATTCCTGAGCCCATTCTGTTATTTCCTTGACAGTGGCATTCCTGTTTGAGGTGCAGTGACGTTTAAGGGCCCGGAGATCACGAGCACCCAGTAGAGTTTTACGGCCTTGACCCTTACGCACAGCGATTGTTCCAGATTCTCTGAATCTTTTGATGATGTTATGCACGGTTGATGATGATGATAACTTAAAAGTCTTTGCTATTTTACGCTGGGTAACACCATTCTGGTATTGCTGCACTATATTTCTGCGCAACAATGGTGGAATTGGTGATCCTCTTACCATCTTGGCTTCTGAGAGACACTGACACTCTGAGAAGCTCTTTTTATACCAATCATGTTGTCAATTGACCTAATTAGTGTTAATTGGTCTTCCAGCTGTTCGTTATATGCTCAATTTCCTTTTTCCAGCCACTTACTGCTACTTGTCCCAACTTTTTTGGGATTTGTTGACACTGTGAAATTTTGAATCAACATAGGACAGAGGAACTACTGTATTGCATTCAATAGCCTACATTGGAATAAAGATATTTTCATTTATTTTAAGTAAAAGTCAACTGGAAGGTAAAAAACATCTTATGTTCTAATCTACCTCTAATCCAAATGTTCTTTAAGTGCAACAATCCATTGCTTTCAAACTTAATGGAAAAATTATTTTTATTATGTGACTAAAAAATTTGTGATTATAATATTTCTATAATCGAAGAGCCCTAAGGGATGCCTATGTTTCATCTACAACTACAAGAGTTGTTGGGGAAGTACTCACCTTGTAGGAAGGCAGAAAGCAGAGCACACCCTTGGCCATGACCTGGCAGATGTGCAGCAGCAAGGCGCCCACCTCATCCTGAAAAGCATACGTTTCAGCATGCTGAAAGGTGGCACGGAGTTGTCGACCTTGGGGCCCTGAACAAACAGTACCCACCCAAACCTAAAGCAAAAGCAAAGAGAAGAAAAAATGTTTCTAGGACATTATGACACTCCTTAGTGACTTAGCTGCACAATCATACGTGAGCAGAGTAAACAGGAGAGGGCTCAACACACATCCCTAAGGATATGTGAAGTAGGTTGACTGCAGGCACAGTTTCAAGAGTTGACACAGTTGTTCTGTGGAAAGCGTGGTCCTGCTGCTCAGAGTGGTGTCTGATTTTAATTTTAAACTGACCACCTCTACTGCATCATCAACAGGAATGCATGTAAAGAGTGATGTGACATCAAAAGAGACCATTGTTTCATCAGTCTCCATGATGACATCCCTCACCTTATCCACAAAGTCCATGGTGTTCTGTATGTGGTGTTCTGAGCTGCCAACTAAAGGGATGAGTACAGACTCCAGATATTTGGAAACATTGTAAGTGACAGAGTTAATCATGCTAACAATTGGTCTTAAAGTTACACCTTGTTTGCGGATTTTAGGTAAACCATACGGACTAGGTGTGGCCTCCCCTGGGTACAGTCTGTGGTACAGAAAATGGTCAATAGCCTTGTCCTGCTCCAACATTTTAGGCAATCTATCAACTTCTTCTTGTAACCACTTCCTGGATCTCTTTATTGTAAAGTTTGCAGATGATACAGCGGTGGTGGGATGCATCACAAACAATGATGAGTCCAGCAATAGGCAGGAGGTGGAACATGTGGAGAGCTGGTGCAAAGAGAACAACCTTCACATCAATGTGAAAAAGACAAATGAGATGATTGCGGACTTCAGAAGGAACAAACACACCTACACCCCCCTGAACATAAGAGGATCTGCAGTGGAAGTGGTCTCCAGCTACAAGTACTTGGGTGTGCACCTGAACAACAACCTCAGCTGGAGCAACAACACCACCAGCCTGATCAAGAAAGCTCATCAGAGACTCTACTTCCTCAGGCGGCTGAGGCGAGCTGGTCTGGAAGCTCAGTCCTCACCTCCTTCTACAGGTGTGCAGTGGAGAGCATCCTGTGCTCCAGCATCAACGTGTGGCATGGAGGCTGCACAGCTGCAGAAAGAAAAGCTTTGCAGAGAGTGGTGAAGGCTGCACAGAAATCTGTTGGAATCAGTCTCCCCACCATCACAGACATCTACACCTCCAGATGCAGGAAGAGAGCCACCTGCATCATGAAGGACCACACTCACCCAGCACACACACTTTTTGCCCCACTCCCCTCAGGAAGGAGGTTGAGGAGCATTAAGTGTAGAACCACAAGACTGAGGAACAGCTTCTACCCTGAGGCTGTTAAGACTCATGAATCTCTAACCAGAATAATCACTGTGGAAAAATCACATCATGTTGTTGCTGATCTGTTTCAATGTTGCTGCTGATCTGTTTCAATGTTGATGTGTTCATGCGTGTTCATCTGCTCACACAGACTCATGTTCATGATGCTGTTTGACAGATTGTTTTTTTTATGCTATTAGTGCTTAGTGTATTTTTAATTGATGTTTTTCTTAGTTCATATCTTAGATCTTATCATTGTTTTTCTTTTACATTTTATTGTTGGATGTAACTGGGACCCTGTGTATATAATTTCGCTCCACCACATGTACCACATGTGATGCGAATGAAAATAAAGAAACTCTGATTCTGACTCTGATATGAGGAGCAACATTATAGGCAGAAACATGGGTGTGCTATGGGGTCTCCAGTTTCTCCTATTGTTGCCAACCTGTACATGGAGGAGGTAGAAAAGAGAGCCATGACGTCCTTTTCAGGGACACCACCAAGTCATTGGTTCAGGTATGTTGACGACACCTGGGTTAAAATTAAATCTCAGGAAGTCCAACATTTTACTGACCACATCAACTCTGTGGATAAATACATCAAGTTCACACGAGAAGATGTAAAAAATGGCAGGTTGGCTTTCTTGGACTGTGAGGTCTCAGTCTCTGATAGAGGACATTTGCAAACTGAGGTGTACC